TCTCTCTCTCTCTCTCTCTCTCTCTCTCTCTCTACATATATATATATATATATATATATATAAATATATATACACACACACACACCAACTTGCAATAATGGAGAGATTTATTTTCACGCCAATATTTTTATTTGTCTATACCTAGATTATATGTTCGAATTATATTACATATTTTCTATATATTAGAGTTAAGATATTATGTTATTTTCTTAATAAAAAATTAACTGATGATGTTATTGTTGTACAAGTAACATATCTACAATACGAATTTTTAGTTAAAAATTTCTAAATAAGCCACACATTTACTTCTACATGTTTTTATATATAAGGCACATGGATTAGTAGTTTTATAAATAACACCGAACTTATAAGAACTTTGGAACAATATCATTGCCTCTTTATTGAAAAATTTACTACACTAATATTTAGAATTTTAGTTCTAATCATCCCTCATTTGTCACTATATTACACATATGCATTATATTTAGTAACTTTTTAAAAACTTCATGTTAACTAGTTGACATATAAAATATTTTTGAAGTTCATTCAAAAACCTCCTAGTAAACTTACCAGAGAAGAGAAACCTATATGGCACGTGAAAAGATGAACTGCATTAAAGTTATCACGAGCGTTATTGATTATTACAATTAATTATATTGATAAAATGTACATCATTTAAACTAAGTACGAAGAATCATAATACTATCACAAACACTTAAAAATAAAAGGTCAAGTCATGTATTATTTCTGAGCTAATTAATTTGTCTGAGGATAAGTTTCCTATATTGATAAAATGTACACTACTTAAATTTTTGCTTGATTTGGTTCAATTCTATTTTTAAGTATGAACTTATTTAATTTGGGTTTTTCTGAATACTTGTTTTGTTAGAAAAGTTCAAACGCACAAAAATACAGAAATTACAAATATTAGTCTTTCCCATAAAATGAAGAACAACAATAGTTAATGCCACTTAATTATCATCTCAATTTCTTAGTAATAAAAACCACAATGACTATAAATAAAAGAAAAAAATACATCAAATTTACATTTTAAGAACTCTTCAATATGGAGAATAACATCATGGAGCCAAAGCTCACATCACGAATCCACTATATCAAATTAATGAGTGCAAAAAGTTCTCTCTAGCACAAGTTAAAACTAAATTTAACAAATTACATCAACTAAATAATACTCTTTCAACACCTAAATAAGTACTCATTTGTCGAATACAACGAAAGACCAAAGAAAAAAGAAGTTAGAGCAATATCACTGTAAGAGATTAAATACTAAATTTGTTTTAATAGACTGTTCTGAACAATCTAATAATCAAAAAACAAACTTCAACAGTTAAAGTGAAGAATATGTTTACTACAAGCCCTCCAAAAATTAGGCTAATCTAACGGTATATGACTTTTGAATTATCTTTATAAAATCAAAATCACCTAAATAAGTATTTAATTGTCTAATATAGTAAAAAACTAAAGAAAAAAAACAAAGCTAGAGCAATATCACCAAAAGGAGTAAAAAACTAAGTCTTTTTTAATAGACTGTTATGAACAATCTGATAGCCAAAATCAAATGCCAATAATCAAAGTGAAGAAGATGTCTACTATAAGTCCTCTAAAAATTAGTTTAATCTAATTTTATATAACATTTCTATTGTCTTTATAAAATCAGGGATATCTAAATAAGTACCCAATTGTCTAATACAATGAGAGACCAACGAAAAAAACGAAGTTAGAGTAATATCACTAAAAAGGGATAAAAAACTAAGCATGTTAATAAACTGTTCTAAACAATGAAATAGCCAAATGTAAATGTGAACAACTAAAAAAAAAATGACTACTATAAGTCCTCTAAAATTTAATTTAATTTAACTTTATATGTAAAGACCCAGAACTTCAAAGGAAATAAAGTTATAAATTAAATGTAAAAGCGAAATAATAGAGATAAGTTTTACATTCATTACACAATAACTTATAATGTTCAATAGAGTTACAGGAATATTCCTTCTAAATGAACAAACAAAAATCAAAGAAATAAACGAAAAACAAATAACTGAGCATCTTAAGACGACCTTCACTAATTTTTGAAGATAATCCGGATGGTGAACTATTTATAGTCCTCTTGTTGATCGAAATCTAGATCTTGATCCTTTTGATCTAAAATAGTTAATGAATGGTAAGCTACACTAGTCTAGTAAGTATATCACACTACTCACCGATACAGAAACTGAAGGTTGGTAAAAATCATAAAAACAACCAATATAACTCTTAATTTAAGTAAATTTATTTATAATAAGAAAAACTATTTATTGCATACTTACCATTGCGAGATTTCTAAAATTGACCTATAGAGACAATAACTCAAATAACATTATAATCTCATATTCAAGTGAGGAAGAACAACAATTTTCTATTTTTATCTACTTACTGGTATCCCTGAAGGTCCATAGGGATGTCCCACTACGCGTGAACCAATATCTAAACTTGTCAACTAACCGGCCGTCCCCATACCCCATCTGGTATGAGCGCCAAAAATATTATCCCTCGATACCCCGTCCGGTATGAGGGTGAATCAGCCCGTCCCCATACCCCGTCCGATATGAGCGCCAAAAATATCATCCCTCGATACCCCGTCCAGTATGAGGATGAATCGGGTCGTCCCAATACCTCGTTCGATATGAGTGCCAAAAATATCATCTCTCGATACCCTATTCGGTATGAACTAACATTCATGGTAGGGTTCCCTATATACACGATCTGTCCACCATCTCTCAGAATATCCAGTAAGACAACCATTCATTAATTCACATAACCAAACAATTTTTCGTTTGCATATTAATTTTTAATTTCACAAACCAACCGTAAATCATGGAAGACAAGCAATATATACATCAAGTAAGCACAACTGAATCATTTTACCATTCTAGTATATTATCATGTATTTAAAGCTGTAAATTTAATAATTAGTTAAACATGACAAATAAATAATTAACCAGTTCCGACTCCATTAATAACCTTTAGTTATTCTTAAAGTTTTCTAAATTACACAAAATACTATATTATTGATTATTAAGCTTCAATTTCATAAAAAAGAATAAGGTGATGGATTCTTACATGAGTCAGTGTCTGAAACACCAAACTTCCTATTACGTATACTGGTCGTCCCCAGATTTTCTAAATTTTTTGGTGGTGATTAAACATGCTTCACGTACCTAAAAATACCACAAAAACTTAAAATCAATGTTAAAAATCCTTTCTGGCCAATTTCGAGGTTCTGGTACGACAGCACCACTGTGCTCCAGCGATAGCAACATTGCCCGCGGCGGGGGTTTTTCTCATCCTGGCCGATTTTGGCTGATTTCGGCCGACTTTATAAATATCACTACGAGAAAACACGTAAGAAGGCCACAGTTGGTCGAAAAAATTAAAAAACGAAAACCTACTGATTGTGGAATTTTTCGGGTGCGGCAGCTCCGCCAGCTCACATTTGCGGGTGAAATTTTTTCTTCGATCAACCTGTAAAAAATAAAACGATGAACACAATGGTAAAAAAATTGCATGAAACGAGAAACAGAAAGGGGTTCATCGGCAGAGGTTGTGGGTTTTGCCTGCAACAGCTCTGTTGGGCTTTGCTGCAGTTTCCGGCTCATCCACCGTTCATTTTGCTCCGATATGGCCACAGGGGTGATCGTAATCGAATTCCAAACGGGTAAGAAAATTTTTACCTTTTTTAACAGTTTAAGGTGGCTTCGGTGCGGTGGCAGTCGGTAGTCAGCTCCCTTCTCTGGTGAGTAGTTCTTCCTTTCCGGCGGGAGGCTGGCGGTTAGGATTCGGATTAAAGATGATGCGAAATATTTATACCTATATCGCGTTAATCTGAACCGTTCATCGTATTTGATCTGGACCGTTCGATCGTACCTAAGGAGAAAACGAATATGAACCGTTCATTGCATTTGATCTTAACCATCCGACAGCGCCTAAAGGAAAAATGGATCCGGACCGTCCACACGCGCAAGATTGTTTCTAGGTCGTCCAATCGCAGGGCATGCGGATTGCCAGTGTGGCCTCCCGCGTGGCACCAAGTCAGCGTGCTTGCCACGCGGCACGCTCCGATTCGTCGAGTCTACTGACTGGGCGGTCCTACATTGCCAAATTATTTTTATCTGCATTCTGACCCCTAATTTCTGATTTTTCTTTCAAAAATACTCACCGTATCCAAATTTTTACCATTTTTTATCAAAATTATTTTTAATCTCACATCTAATTTATTTTTTTCAAATATAACAAAAATTTCATTAAATTAATTTATAAAGTATATTTTTTTTATACACTCTTAATTTACAAAATTTATCCCAAGCTAATTTTCCGGACCCAGGTACTACATTATATGACTCTTGAATTGTCTTTATAAAATCATGACTTAAACTTGTCTTCAATAAATTCTTTGATCCTCTTCTCTCATAAATCTCCCCATTTTTTTTCCTAATAAGAGGTTATATTTAAAAAAAATATATAAAAAAAAAACTCATTAAAACCATCGTAGTGATGTCTTTTAAATTCTAAAGGTAACTTTTTGTAAATTATCGAAATGTCGTTAGTGAACTTCTAGTTTTTATACTATAACATGACAAAATCCAAAAAAGTTTTAAGTCCAAACGCATAGGAGAAACACCCCGAAACACTTTTTTTGTTTCCAATTAATCCATTAATTTTTCGAATGACCCCCAAATTATAAACACTCAGTACATAACACAAAAACAAATAACATCAAAACGAAGCATGATAATGACAATGACAACGACTAATTACGACATAGTATCATACAAATCAAATTTCTCAGCTTCTGATTCCATTAATTAAACAAGAACATGAATGATTACACATATAAACACTTATTATCATAATGGAAATGCAATTACTTAACTAATTAATTAATCAGTAAGCTTGAGATCCAAGGCCATAATGGTGCTGAGATTCATTGGATCCATGTACTTGGTTGACCCGGTCAATATCTGCTTAACTATAAACCCATTAGCCCTCTCAGATGGATGAAACGGGTCCCAAAATGCATACACATCCCGGTTCGGGCACAGGTTTGACGCGACAGTGCAGAGTCCGATTCCATTATAAGGTCCTTGTCCACAGCATGCTACCTCTGATGTTTCAAATCCTGCAAAACCCATAATCAATTATCACACCATCGATTAATTATTGTGTTTAATTAAAGTGGTTAGTGATTATTTCACAAAATTTTATTTTATGGGTTTACTATATGATCTGTGGTTAATAATGTAAATTTAATTAACTTAATAAATTACCGTAAGCTTCAGGACTAGTGATGAAATTATTGTGTGTTTCTTGGGTATTGGCAGCAATGAAGATATCAGAACCATATTTACTGTTGAGACTCTGAAGCATTTGAACAAGCTGTGGGTTATACAACCTTGCAGCTCGTTGTAATTCGGCTGAACACCCGCCATTCGTGTTTCGCATTGCCAATTCTGCCGGAACGCAGCCCATAGGTCCTGTCCCGGTCACCATAACCCGTCGTGCTCCGAGATCATATAGCCTCTTACAGAAAAAAAAAAATGTATATATTATGTAAATAATAACTTTTTATAATGTAACATGTATTATCACTTTGGTTAGATCCTTGTTTTTCTTTTTATCTATAGAAAACATGTTATATTTGTTCATAGACATAATGTACCATTAAAATTTTCTTATACTCGGAGATGAGAAGTTTGACATAATCAGGAAGAGAATATTGCTGAGATCTAGCAGAGAATGGAACCAAGTAGTAATTATTTACGAAATCATTGCCACCAACAGTAACGAGGACGAGTGCTTCATTTACGAGTTGTTGAGCCTGGTCTGCTCCGATTAAGCCACTCACTCGCTGCTGGTATTGCTGGAAATATTGCAGTTGCTCGTACATTCTTATAATATTTATCTATCAAAATTTAATAAAATTTATACATTTAATTTTACTCGTCAATGATCGTAATAATGAAAATTATAAAAGAATTTGCACGTGTTACTTACAAATTGAATACCGGTATCGTCGAGTATTCCAATTCCAGCAGAAGCAAAATTGGCTCCAACAAGCAGCTTTTCTCCATTGAGCTCTGGACTCAAATATGGCAAGGTGGGTTCTGACCCGATTGCCTCACCTGTATGAACACAAAAGAACTTATATATCATCACATATACAGACACGTACTAACCTATATGTACATTATAATTTAAAAGGATGATCATAGTGGACTCAACTGATAAAATCAGGAATGTTGAAGCCATTAGAGAAGCGGCCTGTGGGTTGATGTGTGGGATAATCAATGCCATAAGGTGGAGAATCAGCACGAGCAGTTGTTAATAAGTAATTGTTATTGCCATTATCAACCAGCGAGTCTCCAAACACAAAGAAAGCTCTACATTCAATTTTAACCATATGATCATCAGTACCCAGTAAAATAAATAATAAAATTACATATAATAAATTACTAATAACTGAAATTCCACCCATTGGAATAATACCCAGATGCCCAAAACTCCACTAACTATTACGTATGATATATATATATGTGTGTGTGTGTGTGTGTGTATTCTATATATCTTAGTTGGTTGAGTATAATGGGAGGAATAGTAGAGTCATATAACATATATATATATATATATATATCTGTATATGTGTATAGTTTAGTTAAGTGATGAAATGAGAGACGGGAGAAAGAAGTGGCAGCCAATCAAAATACAGGGTAGTTGTGAGGATCATGATGATCAGCGTCTAATTAAATGATTGGTCGCAGTTTTTCAATCCAATGGTAAAGTAATTTTTCATCTAAACTTAATCTAATTATATTTGTCATATAATGTGTGTATACTGTTAAATAATTTATAAGATTATTATTAAGTTATAAATGTCATTTAATTATCAAAACATATAAATCTCAGTAAAAAAAAAAATTAATCTAATTGTAACAATTTGGTTTGATTTTTTAATTACATGTTTTAATTAAAAAAATATTAAATTATATTTTTAACTCGATACCACTATTTCAATTAAAAAAATTTTAATTTATTTTATTTAATAATAACATAAATTTATTAAAATTTAAATCAATTTAATTATCGTAACTTTATTAATATAATAATAAATTAAATTATTAATTATTATTAAATTAAATATTACAATTTTATCATTATTAATATATAATACATTTTTTATATTATTTTTGTGACTTCTTCAATTTCTAGTAACTTTATATACATTTTTCACATCCTCAACATTTCTTGAAGTTACTCCAATGTCAAATCATTTTCTAGTTTTGGGAAGTCGCGTTTAGTCAAAGTTGATGAACAAGTTACTACATGTACGTATATGTGTATGTATATCTATAGACATATATATATATATATGACTGAATTTGGTTCTAATTTGGGCATATTTTAAGAACCAAATCAAATTTTTTATTTAAATATTAATTAAGTGTCACTCAACCACTAATTTTATAACATTTTAATATGTAAATTCATAAAACAAAAAATAAATTGATAATGAAAATTTCGAATTTACATTCAGAGTTTAATATATCTTCTCTTGTTAGTAATGACTGAAGCTTCTCATTTATGTTTTTGTTAGACTTTTCCTTTCTTTATAAGACATATTCAATTAATAAAATTAGGTTTAGGAATAATCCCACAATTTCTCTGTCATACATACAAATATATATATATATATGTATATATAGACACGCACACACAACACCCATAATAATAGATGAATAGAACTGATGAGTAATATGACTTTAAACATACCACCTACCCTAACAACAATATTCTATATATAATACAACAAAAATTAGCTGGAAAAGCAGTTCAACCAACTTCTTTTA